TTCGTTCAACGCGAGCACCAACTTCAACGAGAAGTCGTCATCACTGTCGCCAATAATATGAACCTGCGCACACGACGACAAGGAGTAGTGCAACTTCAGTCACGAGAGACGAATGTCATACTGCAAATGTCCAAAGTCCTAATAACAGAAGGACTTGGCTACAACTTACTGAGCGTCAGTCAGTTGATGGCGAAAGGCATACATCTGGAAGCCGACAGTACCACCCAGGAGTTCAAGCTCTACCACGGGAAGGGCGGCCTCTACATCGGAAAGGCGGTCCTGAAGAACAATGTCTTCGTTCTCGATTTCGTCCAAGACCTGGGCACCGCAGACAGTGACGGGATCGTCACCTTCACATCTTGGACGCACCCGCCGGATCTCGACCCCGACTTCAGTCCGGAAGGCTTTTGGTATTCACATACCATTCCTGAAGTAGAACGAACACGTGCGTTAGTAACAATACAACATTCGGCAGTAGCAGAGACAACATCGGCAACAACAGAGACAACATCGGCAGCAGCAGAGACAACATCGGCAGCAGCAGAGACAACATCGGCAGCAGCAGAGACAACATCGGCAGCAGCAGAGACATCATCGGTAGTAGCAGGAACAACAACAGTAGCAGCAACAACGACACCAGTCCTCGTTGACGAAGCACCACCAACACCCGCACAGCAGCTGAATCCGGCTCAACGGGAATTCCATAGAAGCGCAAACTTCACCGCCAGCTTCTACTCCAACTCCGACGCGTATCGACGCTCACCCGGACACCGCGCCTCCGAAGACATCTGGCACGCACGCATGGGACACCCAAGCAACACTGTGTTAAACAACACAATAAGAGCAGGAGTCCTTGACAAGGACTCGTTACTACTACTTGACGGCAGAGAACTTCAACGGGCACGAGGAACATGTCTTACCTGCCCCGAAGCCGACTTACCACATCGACCGTTCACTCCTCATCACAAATTCGAGCGCACCCGCGTACGCACCACTCGAAAAGGTGTATAGCGTCATCCTGTACAATCGGGAACCAGGACAAGTAATATACAACTACACAATCACCTTCATCGACGCCGCCACCCGTTACGTCTGGCATCTAAACCTACCCAGCCGCGACATGGTCCTCGAAGCATTCGCTGCTTGGCTACCAGTAGCAGAAAGAGAGTCGGGCGTAAAGCTGAAAAGCTTCCAGTCAGACGGAGGAGGAGAATACACCTCTCAGCGATTCAAGCAGTACCTGGCGGAAAGGGGAATCAAGCAGCTCCTCTCTCTTCCCTACGCCCATCAGCAGCAAGGTGTAGCAGAAAGAATGAACAGGACTCTGCAGAACAGCATGCGCAAACTGTTACGTGGCATGCGGCTACCCAACCACCAGTGGCCTGCAGCAATGGACCACGCCGTCATGCTGCACAACTTGCTGTCGTCATCATCGCTTCCGAACAACGCATCACCGCATCTACTATGGACAGGGAAACAGGGCAGCACAAAAATGTTACGAGTTTTCGGATGCATGGTACAGTACCGACCCCCAGCAGCACGAGCGGGCCGATTTTCTCAACGCGCACAGTGGGGACTACACCTCGGCATCGAAAAGAACTACAACGCGTGGAAAATCTTTGACGTCCACTCCAAGGAAACAGTAGCAGCACGCGGCGTCATTTTCTACGAACGACTCACGCTCCAGACATACCTTGCCAACCTGCAAGAGGACCAAGATCCCACAGGTGGTTTTCGTGGTGACCGAGCCTTCGCCTCAACAGCGGACGAAGCTGACTGGGACGAGCAAAATGTGGCCAACGCATCAGAAGAAGCTGGACCCCTTCCGTTCTGCTCCGTCGACGTCCCCATGGACGAAGATAACCCTCGTGAAAGTGTCAACGCCGAAACCTTCTACTACTTCGCCGACAACGGTTACGTAACACCTGCGTTAGTCAACACCAACGAAGCAGAGCGAGTAGGACCGAATTTCATACCTGATCCAGAAGCGGGAGATGAAGCCGCTTATCCCGAGGATGCAACTCTTCCCCGCTACTCACAGACTGGACTGCAGATTCTCGGACTCGTCACCGCAGTCCTCGGCAACACTCTTCCTAAGGAGCCTGCGACGGTTCAGCAGGCTCTGGGGGGGGAACACAGGGAAAAATGGCGTGAAGCCATGGACAGAGAGTTAAAGGCGCTGGAGGAACGGAACACCTGGAAAGTTGTCCCCATCAGCGTGGCAAGGAACAAGACCATTCTCACCGGGAAATGGGTCTTCCGCGTTACAAAATCAGACGGCACAATTGAGAAGTTCAAAGCACGCTGGGTTGTGCGTGGATTCGATCAGGAGCACGGACGGGACTTCACCAAGACATTCGCCCCGGTTAGCCGACATACCTCACTTCGAATCCTCCTCGCGATCGCCGCCATGAAGAAAAGGAAGCTACGGCAAATCGATGTCGCCAACGCGTTCCTCTACGCACCTGTCGACGCGGAAATCTTCGTCGAGCTCCCACACGGTACCAACGGGGAACCTAACCAAGTCTGTCAACTGCTGAAATCACTTTACGGGATCAAGCAAGCTCCGCGGCTATGGCAACAGTACCTACACGCTCTCCTCATTCGCATCGGATTCCGCCAAATACCTCACGACCAAGGAATGTACCGACTCTCTAAAGACACCGACTACATTCTGCTGATCGTCTACGTAGACGACCTACTCTACATCGGCTCCACAGACGACATCACCACCTGGTTCGAAGGGGAGTTACAGAGGGACCTCACACTCACGGTCTCCTCTACCGTCACACAGTACCTCGGCTTAAACATTCGGGAAGAAGAAGGCGCGATCTACCTCAACGCCGCTAAGTACGCCGACACCATCGCCAAACGCTTCGCGCTCACACCTACCACCATCTCTACGCCCTACCGCTACGCGACAGGAAACCACAAGGAAGGATCCTCTCTACTCAAATCCGCCGGGATACGCGACTACCAGAGAAAGCTGGGCTGCCTTCTCTTCGCAGCCGTCACCTGCCGCCCAGATCTATCCTACTCCGCAAGCCAGCTCGCCACCTACCTCAAGAAGCCTGAAGCAGAACACCTGGCGGAGCTCGACCACGCTCTCCACTACTTCGTTAGTACCTCAACGATCGACCTAACCTACTACAAGAACACAACCACACCGACTAAATTAATCGGCTACGTCAATGCTGATCACGCTGGCGACTCAGACAATAGGCGCTCCCGCAGTGGCTATATCTACCGCCTCGAACCTATCGGACCGATCTCCAGGCAATCGAGTAAGCAGGAATTAATTGCTCTCTCGTCAGCTGAAGCAGAATATATTGCACTCTGCTCAGCCACCAAGGAAGGACTCTATCTTCGCGAGCTGCTGGAAGAAGCGAAGTTAGCCGAGTTACCCAACTTCACTCTGTTCTGCGACAACCAATCTGCAATTCGCATCGCCAACAAAAATGGGTTCGCGAACAGAACGAAGCATATCGCTCTGCGATATTTCTTCGTGAAAGACGAGATTGAGAAGGGGAGACTTGAACTATCCTACTGTCCCACGTCCGAGATGGCAGCTGACTACTTGACCAAGAAGCTCGGAAAACAGAAGTTCGAGTACTGCATGCTGCTGACTGGACAAAGCCACGTCACCAGCAGCGACACTCCAGAAGCGAAGGGGAGTGTTGGGAACAAACAATATTAAGCGCCTCTGTCGTGTCGAAACACCAAGGCACAAGCGAAGCAGAGCATATCGAGGCACCAACGAGTCAACCCTCGGAGGTTGAAGTAACCGCTGGAGGTTACGCGAAAGTCTAAGGTTAGCGACCTTTGACTTGACAAATGCAGCGCGACACCAAGGACACACAACTGACTCGACATTGAGTAGTTGCCCGAGTCGCACTGTACCAAACCGCAGCAGTAAAACAGTTTAATTATACGGTATCTCTTCGTATTCTTTTATATAAACCTTTGTACTTGCTTGTTTTAGACAACTTACTTTGCCCTCACATACTAGCGCAAGGTGGTTCAAGGAGTTCATTTAAGCGCTTCCGCTACTACATCTCTACTCAGAGTTTAACTCTACCAAAGATCCTAAGGGGCACTCAGTCCAACAACAAGAACACTCAATTAAACTACCAGTGTTGTGCACTGGGCCCGAAGGTCCACTTCCCCTGTACTGTCAGCTACACTACACACACATTTACATAACGCATGCACACCCAACACATGTATACCGTCCATGCAGCATGTACACATGCATATGTGGCGCCTTACGGCGCCTTCTTTGCAATCCCTCACCTCACCACACCACCAGTAGGCAGGTTCTGTATGTGCTAGCTACTGGTGGAAACAAGGTTGCTTGCTAGGTTAGCTGCATCATTCCTTGCCAGTGCCCAGGAGGAACCGACTCGATTCGAACAACTGGGACTACCATTACTGGTGTGCTGGGAATAACGCATGGGTAGTCCTGACCCTGTGACTCGCTGTGATGATGATGGTTCTGCTGCTGCTGCTGCTGCTGCTGCTGCTGCTGCTGCTGCTGCTGCTGTTGCTGCTGCTGCTGTTGCTGCTGCTGTTGCTGCTGCTGCTTGTGCTGGTGCTGCTGGTTCTGTCAGTGGTGGGGATTGGTTGGTCTCAGGAGGGTCTGGCATGGAAGAACCGTAGCATCATGGTGTAGAGGTCGTTGGGGTCGATGGGCTTCGTTATGTACCTGCAGGTGGGGTGCGGTGGAGTGCAGCGGGGTGCAGTGAGGTGAGGTGTGACGAGGTGGAATGGAGTGTGGTAGGGTAGAAGTGCGGTGTGAAAGGTGTGGAGTGGTGTGGTGTGGTATGGAAAACAGGGACGTGTCACAGCATAGTGGACACGTTTTGAGTCGACTATTGAGTCGACTATTGGATGCATGTACGAAAGCATGGAGGCGTATGGAAGCGCACTGCAGTTCATGGCTGCACGCACATTCCAATCACCACCCTCGTCCCTTCCCTTCCCCATGCCCATGCTCATCCCTATCCCCCTTTCCATGGCCCCCTGTTTCCATGCCCCCCTGTTTCCATGCCCCCCTGTTTCCATGCCCCCTGTTCCCATGGCCCCCTGTTTCCATGCCCGCTTGTTCCCATGGCCCTCCTGTTCCCATGCCCCCCTGTTCCCATGGCCCTCCTGTTCCCATGCCCCCCTGTTCCCATGGCCCTCCTGTTCCCAAGCCCCCCTGTTCCCATGCCCCCCCTGTTCCCATGGCCCCCTGCCCCTGTCGCCCCCTGCCTTTCACTGACCCGTCCATGCCAGCCTGGCTGCATTTCTCCTTGGTGCCCTTGAGCACGCATGCCCATGCCCATCCCAACCCCCCTCCCCATGCCCCCCAGTTCCCCCTGCCTCCCTGCCCCACTCGCCCGCTGCCCTTTACTGACTCGCCCGCTGCCTTTCACTGACCCGTCCATGCCGGCCTGGCTGCATTTCTCCTTGGTGCCCTTGAGCACGTCTGCTGTCAACTGGAGGCAACGAACAGGGGTCAGGAGGGATAGAGAGGTGTGGAGAGGGGTGGAGAGGTAGAGTCGGGATATCAGCAGTTTTCCCTAGTGCCCTTGAGGAGCACGTCTGTTGTCAAGTAGTAGCGGCAAAGAAGGGCAGCGAAGGGCTTAGAAGAGAATACAGGGATAGGGGTATAGAGGGGCAGAGAGCGGTAGAGAGGGTTAGAGAGGGACGGAAAGGGGCAGAGAAGGGGGAGCAAGAAAGCAGGGCAGGAAGGTTGACCGAGGAACAAGGGAGCACATGGGTAGAGGGAAGAGCAGAGAGGTGGAGGCGAGAGCAGAGGGGTGGAGGGGAGAGCAGAGGGTGGAGGGGAGAGCAGAGGGGTGGAGGGGAGAGCAGAGGGGTGGAGGGGAGAGCAGAGGGGTGGAGGGGAGAGCAGAGGGGTGGAGGGGAGAGCAGAGGGGTGGAGGGGAGAGCAGAGGGGTGGAGGGGAGAGCAGGCAGCAGGAAACAATGTGAAGAGCCAAGAAACAACAGCAGTGTGCGGCGCGAGGAATGGCAAGAATGAAGCACAAGTGGAGGGAAGAGACAAGGAAGGAAAGGAAAGGAGCATGAGATGATGGTGCGGAAGGAAGGGTAGTAGGGAGAGTGTAACCAGGAGAGGGAGGGAGGGAGGGAGGGAGGGAGGGAGGGAGGGAGGGAGGGAGGGATGGAGGGAGGGAGGGCGAGAGGGAGGGAGGGAGGGAGGGAGGGAGGGAGGGAGGGAGGGAGGGAGGGATGGAGGGAGGGAGGGAGGGAGGGAGGGAGGGAGGGAGGGCGAGAGGGAGGGAGGGAGGGAGGGAGGGAGGGAGGGAGGGAGGGAGGGAGGGAGGGAGGGAGGGAGGGAGGGAGGGAGGGAGGGAGGGAGGGAGAGAGGGAGGGAGGGAGGGAGGGAGGGATGGAGGGAGGGAGGGAGGGAGGGAGGGAGGGAGGGAGGGAGGGAGGGAGGGAGGGAGGGAGGGAGGGAGGGAGGGAGGGAGAGAAGGGCTTACAGCAACGATGGGCACGCGTGGGGATTTGTGCTGCTCCTCCAGCTGTCTCCCTCTGCGACACGTCTCGTAGCCATCCATCTGCACGTGGTGTGGCATGGCATGGTATGGCATGGCATGGCAAGGCATGGTATGGCATGGTGTGGCATGAAATAATGTGGCATGGCGATATGAACGTGGGAATGGGTGGCATGGTCATAGAAGAGAATTTGGGCGGGGAGAAAGGAGGAGAGCAACACAGGGTTTGGATGAGAGCAGATCTGGAAAAAAGGAAACATGCAAACATGGCGCATGCATGCATGCATGCATGGCAAGGGGAGGATGATTGCAATGGAGGAAAAGAGGAAGGGAGAAGAAAAACATGGGAGGAGCGGAGAATGGGAGAGCATGGGAGAGCATGGGAGGGAGGAGAAACACACTCACCTCAGGCATCTGTTTGTTGCAGCAACGAAAGGGAGGGGCATGGTGAGGTGGGGCATGGTGAGGGTAGTTGAAGCGTGTTGTGCAAGGTTCCAATCCGTCCATGCATGGGTATGCACATGCAACATACACACATCACATGCACACATGCACGCATGCACGCACGTGCACAGCACACATGCACACATGCACCCACACACATCCATGCAAGAGAAACCACAAGATGCAGGAAAGGAAACTCAGTCAAGACAGCACGCGCAGCGTGCAAGTCTGCAAGCGGAGGTCGAACTGGTGTAGCAGCTGTAGCAGCTGCAGCAGTGAAACAAGAGGCCCATGTTTTCCAATCTCTCAGCACTTAATCACAGCCTGTGTCGATTCAAGAGAACTTGAAACCCCGCCTGTAAGTTTATGAAGACCAAGTCCTGTAGCAGTGGATATAGGAGGGGAACGCCTATCAATCTCAAAAGAAAACCAATCCCACAGTGACCCCACCTGTAGGTCCATGAAGACGAGGTCGAACTGGTGCGGCGGCTGTAGCAGCTGTAGCGCGCGCTGGCCACTGGAGGCTGTGGCGGTGGATATACCGTACTTGGACAGCATCTTGCATGCTACCCTCAGGTTCACTGCATGGGGGGGAGAGGAGAGGGAGGGGGGAAGGGTGAGATACGGGGTGAGCGACGGGGGGAGGGGAGGGGAAAAGGAAGGGATTAGACAGCATCTTGCATGCAATCCTCAGGTTCACTGCATGGGGGTGAAGGAAGGGGGAAGGCAGGGGAGGCAGGGGAGGAAGGGTAGGCAGGGGAGGCAGGGGAGGAAGGGTAGGCAGGGGAGGAAGGGAGAGGAGAGGGAGGGGGGGAAGGAAATGGGAAGAAAGGGAGTTGGACAGCATTTTGCACGCCACCCTCAGGTTCACTGTGTAGTGAGGTGCATTTTGAGGCGCCTCAAAATGAGTTGGACAGCATTTTGCACGCCACCCTCAGGTTCACTGCATGGGGGGGAGGGGAGAGGAGGAGATGAGCAAGAACAGGAAAAAAGGGGGCGGGCTTGGACGTGGAAAGGGGGAAGAGGGGGCAGCATCTTGCATGTTTGAGTCAACTGAAAACAGTCGACTGAAAACAGTCGACTGAAAACATTCGACTGAAATCATTCGACTGAAAACATTCGACTGAAATCATTCGAGTGAAAACATTCGAGTGAAAACATTCGACTGAAATCATTCGACTGAAATCATTCGACTGAAACCATTCGACTGAAAACATTCGACTGAAATCATTCGACTGAAATCATTCGACTGAAATCATTCGACTGAAAACATTCGACTGAAAACATTCGACTGAAATCATTCGACTGAAATCATTCGACTGAAAACATTCGACTGAAATCATTCGACTGAAAACATTCGACTGAAAACATTCGACTGAAAACATTCGACTGAAAACATTCGACTGAAAACATTCGACTGAAAACATTCGACTGAAAAACATTCGACTGAAAACATTCGACTGAAAACATTCGACTGAAAACATTCGACTGAAAACATTCGACTGAAAACATTCGACTGAAATCATTCGACTGAAATCATTCGACTGAAAACATTCGACTGAAAACATTCGACTGAAAACATTCGACTGAAAACATTCGACTGAAAACATTCGACTGAAAACATTCGACTGAAAACATTCGACTGAAAACATTCGACTGAAAACATTCGACTGAAAAAAATTCGACTGAAAACATTCGACTGAAAAAAATTCGACTGAAAACATTCGACTGAAAACAGTGGACATCTTGCATCTTCTCCCCCTTCTCACTGTTCACTCAACCATACCCAGATCATCCACCCACTCACCCATGTTGCGACATCCACACAAAGAATCCGCTTTCTCCCTGCGATTGATTTTTGAGAATTCTCAAAAATCACCCACATCACGACTCACCCCAAAAAGCCCAACGGAACGACTCAGCCCGCTCCCTCCCTGCCCCCCCCTCCCCCTCTCCCCCTCCCCGCCCACTCACCCATGTTGTCATCCACACACAGAATCCGCTTCCCCCGCATCATCTGCTGCAGTTTCTCCGCAACTGTCGCCCCGACCGGCGCCCCCGGGTTCGCCACATGGGAAGAATCCAGCCTCGACAGCCCCAGCGCCTGCACCAATGCCGCTCCCACAGACGCTCTCCGCAGCGGCTTCAGCAGCAGCACTGCGACTCCTGCTGCTGCTGCTACTCCTTCCACTTCGGGGCCTGTTCGGGCGACTACGAGGACCACTGGGCAGCGCGTGAAGAGGCGGTTAGAGCGGATGGCTGCGAGGGAGAATTGCCAGTTGGGTGTGTCTGTGTCGATTAGGATCACAGAGATGGGGGCAGGGGCGGTGGGGGGAGCAGGAGTGGTTGGGAGGGCACGAGGGGTGGTGAGAGGAGGGGCGGTTGGGAGGGTGGTGGTCGGGGGAGGAGTGGTGGTCGGGGGAGAGGGAGTGGGAGGAGTGGTGGCAGGAGGGGTGGGGAGTTTAGGGGTGGGTGCAATTGGAGGGGCAGGGGATGGGGCAGGAGAAGGGGAAACGGAGGGGGGAAGAGTAGCAACAGGGGCATCGGCCGAAGCAGCAGCATCAGTAGCGGCTGCACCAGTGCTGCTGTCGCTGCGGCATGTGGCAGTGACACTTGTGGTGGCGGTAGTGGTAGTGGTGGTGGTGGTGGTGGCGGTGGTGCTGGTGGCGCTGTCTGTGGCTGTGCCGGTGGCGGTGGTGGTGGTGGCGGTGGTGGTGTCTGTACTGCTATTACTGTTGTCACTGCTACCACGAGTGTTGGAGAGCAGGGCATCAAACAGAGTGCCACTGCTGCCCTGCTGCTGCTCGTGCTGCGCCTTGCAATGGGCCACAGACGACAGGAGAGTGCTCAGACTGCTGCTCCTGCTGCTGCTGCCACTGCTGCTACTAACGATACTGCCAGCACCAGCACCGCCGCCAAAGCTGCTGCTGCTGTTTGTAGTGGCGAGGCTGTTGCTGCTGCTGGCACCGCTGGTACTCTTGCTCTTGCAGGAGCTATCAGCACCGCTGCTCTCGCTGCCATCCTTTCTAACAACAGAGTCTTGCATTGAATTTTCCTTTTCCAGCAGGCTCTTTTCCCGCTTTCTTCCATCACCAATTCTCCCAGCTGCGTGCTCCCCTCCGTTACTCATCCCACCTCCTCCTCCAGAGATTGATTGCCCCTCTTCTTCAGCCCCCTCCTCTTCTTCAGCCCCCTCCTCTTCCTCAGCCCCCTCCTCTTCCTCAGCCCCCTCCTCTTCCTCAGCCCCCTCCTCTTCCTCAGCCCCCTCCTCTTCCTCAGCCCCCTCCTCTTCCTCCTCTTCCTCCTCCTCCTCCTCTTCCTCCTCTTCCTCCTCTTCCTCCTCTCCTTCCTCCTCCCCTTCCTCCTCCTCCTCCTCTCCCTCTCCCCTCTCCTCCTCTTCCTCCGTACCATCACTCTCTCCATACCTCGTACTCTCCTTCTCACTCTCCTCTTCCTCTTCTCCCTCGCTCCGCTCCCCATCCTCCATGTCGCTCCCCTCATCATCACTCACCTCCTCAGCCTGCCCGGCCTTCTCGGCCTTCCCAGCCTTCCCTTGCTGCCCCTGCCCCTCTCGTCCATCATCCTTCTCCTGCACTCCCCGCCCCTGCCCCTGCCCCTGCCCCTGCTGCTGCTGCTGCTGCTGCTGCTGCTGCGTAATCAGCCTCCTCTGACCCATCACAACCCCTCCAGTGCCCGGCAGCACCGCATTCAATGCGGAAAGCCTCTCGCTCTCCTTCTCAATGGCATCTGAGAACGTCTGCACAGACCTAGACACAACTGTGTGCGCGCGCCGCTGCTGCCTTTCCGGATTAGGATTCTCAAACTCGTCTCTCTCAACCTCATCATCCGAGAACTTTAGCATCGATCGCGGCACGGCCGTGTGTGCCCGCACCAGTGCTCTCCCCCCCCCTCCCTCGCGCCTGCGTGCGTGCCTTATCATTTGCATCAGCAGGAACAGCTGCATCACCAGAAGCAGCAGTAGCATTGGTAGTAGCATCAGCAGGATTAGCCGGGGCAGCAGCAGCATTAGCAGTAGCAGCAGCAGTGGCAATAGCAGGGGCAGCTGCAGCAGTAGTAGCTGTGTCAAGGAAACTTGGCATCACCTCTTCCTCCTCCACCACAGCAGCATACCTTCCCCTCATCCCGCGTCTCCCCCCTCTTTCCCCTTCCCCCCTTCCTCCTCCTCCCCCACCTCCCCCTTCCCCACCCGCGCCCCCACCCATGGGGATAAGCGATGTGCTGAATGTTGCTGCTGCTGCTGCCGCTGCTGCCGCTGCCTGTGCTTGGATACTTCTGAGGGTTTGCGAGTCGTATGTTGCGAATTTCTTTGGCGGAGGGGGGTTGTAACCCCCACCCATATCCATCCCCATCCCCATACCCATACCCATCCCCATGCGCATGCCCATGTCTGCGTCTGTTCCTCCATCCTCCCCCGTACCACTCCCATTCAACATCAACACCCCCTCCCCTCCCCTTGCCCCTCCTCCACCCCCTGTCCCCCACCCCTCTCCCTCCCCCCTCACCCTCCCCCCCACACCACCACAAACCCCTCCTCCTCCTCCTCCCTCTCCTCCTCCTCCTCCTCCTACTCCACTCCCCCCCCCATCAATCCCCCCTCCCCCCATCCCCCCTCCGACTAGCCCTCCTAACATCGTCAAAGCAGCAGCACCCCCAACCATCTCCACCTGCCCCACTTCTAGAAACCCTAATCTCGAACCAGCGGATCCCGCCACCACTGCTGCTTTCTTTCCCCCCACTCCCAGCAGCCGCTGCTGCCACTGCTGCTGGTGCAGCCATGCGGTTACATCCTGGTCGCCTGCTGCTGCTGCTGCTGCTGCTGCTGCTCCTGCTGCTGCCGCTTGCACTTGTGATTGTGCTTGTCCGCTTGCGTTCGGAGAGAACGGGGTCTGATTTCCCGCAGTGGTGGTGGCAGCACCACCACCACCACCACCAGCACCAGCACCAGCGGCAGCAGTGTTGGTGCTGGTGTTGCTGGTGCCTATGTTCCTGACACTGCTCATACTACTTCTCCTCCCACCGCCACCAGCAACACTCAAAGCACCACCACTTGACATGCCACCAGAACCATTGCCTCGATCGTAGGCACTGCTGCTGCTGCTGCTGCTGGAATAATTCATTATATTCTGCTGCTGTTGCTGCTGCTGTAAAGGTTCATCTGAAGATCCCCCCCCCAGTACTCCCTGTGTGCGAACACTCTGTGTAGAGGCATTCGGCCTTGCAAAAGGAGAGAGGGAAGAAGAGGGAGCGAGGATGGAGGAAGAGGAGGGGGAGGCAGCAGAAAGTGAGAATGGGAAACCAGAGGGTCCCACCCGAATCTGCTGCTGCTGCTGCTTGCTCTGCTGCTGCTGGTACTGATACTGCTGATTCTGCTGCTGCTGCTGCTGGTGAGAGAGAGAGGCCGGGGGGCTGACTTGATCCAGGATAGACACGAGCAGACCCAGGCGGAGCAAGTGTGCCTGCAGCACGGCTCTCTGTACTCGATTCGCATCCACTACCAAGGCGTGCAGCCCTTTCAGGCGCTGCAGGAAAGGAAGGTCTGTGAGGTCTGAAGGGAGAGGGGGAAGCGGGAAGGCAGAGGGAGGTGCGGCAGAGGAGGAGGGTGGTACAGGGGGGGTCGCTCCTGCTGCTGCTCCTGCTGCTGCTGCTGCTGCTGCTGCTGCTGATGATGATGATGATGATGATGATGATGATGATGATGATGATGATGATGATGATGATGATGATGATGATGATGATGATGATGATGATGATGATGATGATGATGATGATGATGATGATGATGATGATGATGATGATGATGATGATGATGATGATGATGATGATGATGATGATGATGATGATGATGAGGATGAGGATGCTGGGAGGGATTGCACGGACGGGGGTGCGGGCTGGTGGAAGAGAGAGGCGGAGGAGGAGGAGGCTGCAATGAAGGGGGCGATGGTGGCGGTGGGGGCGTGCAGGAAGAGGTCGAAATAGAAGGTGCTGCCCACTGCCACTGTTGACTTGAGTCCCAGAGAGCCGCCCATTAGAGATACCTGCGGTGGGGTTGAGAGGAAGGGGGAAGGGAGGAAGGGCGAGGGAGGGATGGGAGAGGGAGTAGGGGAACCGAAAGGGAAGGGGGAAAGGGGGAAAAGAAGGGAGGGGAGGGGGGGAGGGGAGGGAGCAGGGAGAGAACGAGGGAGAGGATGAAAGACGTCTGAGTTTGGAGAGGTGCAGGAGGAGAGGCGGAGGAGGAGGAGGTTGCTATGAAGGGCGCGACTGTGGAGGTGGGGGCGTCCAGGAAGAGGTCGAAATAGAAGGTGCTGCCCACTGCCACTGTTGACTTGAGATGAGACCCAGTGAGCCGCCCATTAGAGATACCTGCGGTGGTGGAAGGAGGGGAGGGGTGTGCGGGGAATGCAATGGGCGAAGGAGGGGAGGGAGGGGAGGGCGGGGAGGAAGGGATTGGGGAGAGGAGGTGAAGGAGAGGGGAGAAGAAGGGAAGAGAGGGGAGAAGAAGGGAAGAGAGGAATGAAGAGAAGGGGGAGAAGAGTGGGGGGATGGGGGAGGGGTTTGACGAGAGGGGTAGACGACACAGGATAGGAGCGAACAGAAGACTGGCTGGTGAGGAAGGAAAGAAGCAGAGGCAGCCAGGGGAGCACAGATTTGGTTTTTAAGTCGACTCAAAAACCGACTCATCACACAAGGAAAGAAACAGAGGCAGCCAGGGGAGCACAGATTTGGTTTTTAAGTCGACTCAAAAACTGACTCATCACACGAGGAAAGAAGCAGAGGCAGCCAGGGGAGCACAGATTTGGTTTTTAAGTCGACTCAAAAACCGACTCATCACACGAGGAAAGAAGCAGAGGCAGCCAGGGGAGCACAGATTTGGTTTTTAAGTCGACTCAAAAACCGACTCATCACACAAGGAAAGAAACAGAGGCAGCCAGGGGAGCACAGATTTGGTTTTTAAGTCGACTCAAAAACTGACTCATCACACGAGGAAAGAAGCAGAGGCAGCCAGGGGAGCACAGATTTGGTTTTTAAGTCGACTCAAAAACCGACTCATCACACGAGGAAAGAAGCAGAGGCAGCCAGGGGAGCACAGATTTGGTTTTTAAGTCGACTCAAAAACCGACTCATCACACGAGGAAAGAAGCAGAGGCAGCCAGGGGAGCACAGATTTGCAGAATGCAAGCAACGAAGCTGGGAGGGAGGGTTAGAGCGGAGGAGAGATGCTGGGCGACAAGGGAGGAAAAAGACGGTAGGGTGGGGGAAAGGGGGGTTGGGGAGGGGAGGGCGGCAGGAAGAAACATGGGGAAACGGAAGGAGGATGTAGGAAGAGCAGGAAGGAAAACAATCAGAGGAGGGGAATGATGAACCAAGGGACAAGAGGAGTCCCTGGCGAGAGGGAGGGCGAGAGGGAGGGAGGGAGGGAGGGCGAGAGGGAGGGAGGGAGGGAGGGAGGGAGGGAGGGAGGGAGGGAGGGAGGGAGGGAGGGAGGGAGGGAGGGAGGGAGGGAGGGAGGGAGGGAGGGACTGACGAGGCGCTGTGATGATGCCGGTACGAGAGAGGGCGAGGGCGAGAAGGGGTGCGAGAAGCAGGGCAAGAAGGGGCGAGGGGGAGGAGAGAAGGGGAGAAGGGGAGAAGGGGAGAAGGGGAGAAGGGGAGAAGGGGAGAAGGGGAGAAGGGGAGAAAGGGCACTGACGAGGCGCTGTGAGATGGTGAGGCCGATGCCGGTACCTCCTGCCCGCCTGCTGGTGCTGCTGTCCGCTTGCATCCACGGCTGGAAGATGCGCACATGCACATCCGGGGCTATGCCTGTGCCAGGGAGAGGGTTGGGAAAGAGGGGCCAGAGGAAGTGGGAATGAAGGGAGAGGGACCGGGTCCGCTGGTGCTGGTGCTGCTGTCCGCCTGCATCCACGGCTGGAAGATGCGCACATGCACATCCAGGGCTATGCCTGTGCCAACAAGGGGTGGTTGGCAACAGAGGAGACGGATGGTAGATGGGACGGAGGAAGTGGGTATGCAGGAAGAGTGTGCCAGGTTGATGCAGCAAGCGGATGCAGGAAGAGTGTGCGAGTGGTTTTTGAGAATTCTCAAAACACACTCGCTGGAAGAGTGTGCGAGTGGTTTTTGAGAATTCTCAAAACACACTCGCTGGAAGAGTGTGCGAGGTTCTCCCTGCTGCTGTCTGTCGGCATGCATGTCTGGTGGTGCTATGCCTGTGCATGGGGGCAAGAGGTGGGGTTTGGAAGGGGGGGTGTGGAAATGGCAAGAGAGGAAGTGGAGGAGAGGGAGAAATGAGGGGACCGCAGGGAGAGGGGGCGAGATGGGGGGATGGCGGTGAAGTGCGGTGGGGAGGGGTTAGTGGTGGAGTTTGTTTGCATGAATGTATAGGGAGTCTCATGAAAAGGCGCCTAAACAACAGTCTCAACAGTCTTGACAACCTCAACGGTCACAACGGCCTCAACCGTCACAACAGTCTCAACCGTCACAACAGTCTCAACCGTCACAACAGTCTCAACCGTCACAACAGTCTCAACCGTCACAACAGTCACAACCTAGTCAGGTATGGGGCTGATCCGGCCACTATGATATGATCTGAGTTTCGAGTCTCATGTTGAGACGTCGCAACAGTCTCACCACTCTCAACAGCCTGCACTCACACACACCAGTGCCCCCCCCCCCCACACACACACACACCAGTGCCCCCCCCCCCCCCCCCCCCCCCCCCCCCCCCCCCCCCCCCCCCCCACACACACACCAGTGCCCCCCCCCCCCCCCCCACACACACACCAGTGCCCCCCCCCACACACACACACACCAGTGCCCACCGCCACAACGGGGCCACTCGAATTCGAGTTTTGATAGCAAACCCTACTGCACTCACTCACCCATCCACACACACACACACACACACACACACACACACACAAACACACACACACACACACACACACACACACCAGTGTCTTACCCCACGACAGCCTTTAGAGATGTAGCACGAGTCACCTCCCACCCCTTGCACTCACCCACGCCAGTGTCCTCCACAGCAACAGCCAGTCGAATCCGACGAGCACCTTTCACCTCCCTCCTCTCCCTCTCCCCCTCCTCCTCCCTCTCCGCCTCCCCTTCCTCATACAAATCCTGCCCTCTCCTACTCTCATCTGCATACCCCTCCTGGCTGTGTTGTTCCCCCTCTCCTCCCCTCCCTCCTCCCCTCCCTCCTCCCCTCCCTCTCCCTCCCTGCCGCACCCTCCTCTCCCTTCCCGAACCTCGCTCCGTCTGCTCTCCCTCCTCTCCCACCTTTCCCACCTCGTCTCCCTCCTCCACCACTCCCTCCTCCCCCTCTACCCACTCCTTCATCCTTCCCCACGTGTGTGCAGTACTAGCAGTAGGGAGACCACTTAGCGTATCACACACCCTCCTCCCCCCAATCACAACCCACAAATCCTCCCTCTCCCTCTCTCTCTCCCTCTCCCTCTCCCTCTCCATCCCTCTCCTGTACCCTTCTCTTGCCACTCCTCCCGCACCCCTCTCCTCCCTTCTTACCCCCTCCAAGCTTCGCCAACCACCGCTGCCACTGCCGCTGCCGCTGCCTCTCCCTCCCGAGCCGTTCAGACCTCCCCCGTGTACCAGACTCCCACGGTCACCCATCAGCCCCTTGTTGAACCTCCCCGTACCCATCCTCACTCCTTGCATGCTGCTATCCCCACTCGCCCCTCCCACAACCCCCCCCACACTCTCCCCCCCACCCCACTTTCCCCCAACAACCCTACCATAGTTGCTTCCCCCTCCTGCCATTCTCCCTCCAAAACCCCCAGCCCCCCCCGCACTGCCTCCCACCTTATTCCTCCCATCCCGCTCCTTCCAACTCAACTCCCTCAAAAGCTCATCCTCCTCCTCCTCTTCCTCCTCCTCTTCCTCCTCTTCCTCCCCCTCCTCTTCTATCTCTCTAATCCCTCGCCTCCCTTCCCTCTCATCCCCTCCCCCCCACGCCCCTCTGCGCCCCCTGCCCGCCGCCCCGTGCCTTGCTCTGCCTGCAAAGCTCTCCTCGTGCGTCTCGTCCAGGTTCTCAGAGAAGCTTACAACGCGGATGGTGACCAGAATGTGACCTCTGTCCGTGAACTTGGTTGCATTGCCTGTTGGGATGCAGCAAGGAGAGGCAGGGGAGGGGAAGGGAGGGAAGGAGTAGGGGAGGGGGAGCAGGGGAGGGGGAGCAGGGGAAGGGGAGCAGGGGAAGGGGAGCAGGGGAGGGGGAGCAGGGGAAGGGGAGCAGCGGACGGGCAGCAGCGGAGGGGGAGCAGGGGACGAACAGGTCGGGGGGGGGCGGGGAAGGGAAGGGCATTTGAGGCGCCTCAGAAGTCAAAATGTGTTCGCAGTCGGTGAAAATGTGTTCGCAGTCGGTGAACTTGGTGAGATTGCCTGTTGGGATGCAGCAAGGAGAGGGCGAGGGGAAGGTTGAGGGAGGGGAGATAGTGGAGCAGGAGGGGCAGGAACACGCAGACTCTCTCCCTCCCCCGCACTCGCGCGCACGCGTTCACACACAAACCCCCCTCCCTCCTCCTTCCCACCACACAAGAACACGTGGTTCACCCTTCATGTGCACACACGCAAACACACACACACACACACGCGCGCGCGCGCGCGCACACACACACACACACACACACACACACCCCTGCTCGTCTATCTCACCTATGAGGTTCACGAGCACTTGGCGGAAGCAGCCCGGGTCGCCCAGCAGCACGTTGGGTTTTCAGGCGCCTAGCCAGCCCGTCTCCTTACCCGCGAATGCTTAAGGGGCGCCTCAGGAACCGCCCCGGATCGCCCAGCAGCACGTCGGGGACCGCGGGGGCGACGAGCGAGGCGAGGTGCACCTGCGTGGCGGTTTCTGTCCAAGTCGACTTGAGAACGCACTTGGCGGAACAGCTTGCACCGTGTGTACCTGGACCACTAGCTCACATCCACACACAAAGACACACCTGATCCATCCCTCACCCCCACACACGCCCCCTCCCATCGCACACTCCTTACCTCCCTCCACCCCCACTCTCTTCCCCCCCGGCAATCTCACCTATGAGGTTCACGAGCACTTGGCGGAAGCGGCCCGGGTCGCCCAGCAGCACGTCGGGGACCGCGGGGGCAACGAGCGAGGCGAGGTGCACCTGCTTGGCACGCACGCGCTCGCTGAACATGCCCATCACATCGTCCACCTCCACTCGCGGGTCGAACGGCACTCGCTCTATCTCCATCTTGTCCGCTTCTATCTGGGAAGAGGGGAGGGGATGGGGGAGGAGGGGAGTGGGGGGGAGGGAGGGAGAGAGGGAGAAGGGGTGGGCACGCGCTCTCTCACTCCCTCTTCCACTCCCTCTGTCTTAACCGCCTGGACTTGAGAGGCAGGGAGGCGAGGGGAGGAAGGGGAGCAAGGGGAGCGAGGCGAGGTGCACTTGCTTGGCGCGCACGCGCTCGCTGAACATGCCCATCACATCGTCCACCTCCACTCGCGGGTCAAACGGCACCCGCTCTATCTCCATCTTGTCCGCCTCGATCTGGGTGGATGAGGGGGAGTGTGAGGACCGGGGAAGAGGGGGTGGGTGTGTGAGGGAGGCGAAGAGGGGAGTGGGGGAGGGAGAACGGGAAGGAGAAAGGTTGGGCACGCGCGGGTCGAACAGCACGCGCTCTATCTCCATCTTGTCCGCCTTGATCTGACTC